AGATCTAACGCTCCACCAACCCTTTGAACCTTCACTCCGACACCCTTTCAGTGAATTTCCGTGCACGTTTTTTGAAAGCCGACCTGTTTATTTTTCTTCCTCCATCTTTGTGAGTCTGACTCTCACGCTCACTGCTGGGTCAAAGCAAAGCGCAAAGCTGGCTGCAACATTTGAATAATTTTGGCCGGAAATTACGTTTTTACAAGAAAAAGAAATCAGAAGAAGCATTTTGCGTTTAGCATGAGTTTTTATTGTTTTATTTATATTCCAGTTTGTGAATTTGTTACCAGCTTCTGGATTACATCAGAAACTCAGGTGAAATGGAAGCCTTATTATATTAGCCCTTCAAGTTCATTTGAAATATTTGGTTTGGTAAAGTACACTTGCTCCTTGAAACAATCCCAAAGAAAAAGGTCTCAGAGTGTTAGCTTGAGAGTCTGTTGTTGTACCTACAGATGCTGGATTTCAGATCAGAATTGGTATTTCAGCCCTTGTGGATCGTGTTCATCGCTGGCCGCTTCAAGATAATGAAAGAAGTTAGAATTTCAATAGACCATCAATCATTGTGATCCTACTAAATAGTGAACCACCAGATCCGGAGCGTAAAGGTCATCTGTATTTGTATATGTAGTACGTTAACTTTCACAGTATTGTTTTTTTGTTTGGACTTACACGTGGGGGAACAGTATCGAAGAAAACGAGGAAGGAAACCGGATGAAAACAAAGGAAGGGGAAGGGAACCGTGGTGTGATGAAGCCGGTTCCTCTCACAGCTCTCGGTCAGGCTGCAATCATGTGGACAGTGGCGCCACTGCCACGACTAATGGCTGTGGTCGTTCACCAGTGAGCTCTTATTTATTTATTTGACTAAAAGACCAACAACCAAGGAAATTTAAATCCTTAACGGTAGCACGAGGGGTGGGGGGGGGGCGGTTAATGCTGATTTATCTTAACAGAGTTGCAATATTTGGTGTGTGTTAGTGTGTCTTTGAAAATAGAGAGAACCATTCCTACTCAAATTCAAACCGAAAGTCAATGCAAAGCCTTCACTGAACCTAATATGCAATGAGAGATGTACCGTTGCATCTTTCGTCTTTATGAAATAGCACCTCTTGCACAGCGTTGATGTATTCTTTGGGAAATGCTTATTTTACAACTTGAAGTTAACTACACACACAAATGCAGCCTGGCTTGTTCACAGTTTCCTTTTAAGGTGACGATGAGCAAGCTGGGTGTGCTGCCAAGCCGGACACACACATTTTTACATCAGAAGCAAGATTATCCAATTAAACTGGGAAGTCAGCTGTGGTTTGATGTCACACAATTTTTTTATTTTTTGTCAAAGTATTACCCTTGGGGGGCTTGGGTCAGTGTGCTCCATTGTGAAAACAAGGTTAAAATGCAGTAGGGCTTGATGAACTTGAAGAAGCCAACACCCACACGTTGCCAAACATAATCTCAGCTCCGATTCTGTTTACATAGGGGGGGGGGCGGGGGGGGTGAAATGTTGAAGGGAACACACTCTGCACAGCTTGTAATTGCTTGTGATTCTCTCCGCAGACTTCAAAGACAAAGATTGCTGTAGTTCAAAGGTCAAAGGCTCCACCAATGCCCGAATGGCCCCCAATTTCCTGTTATGTCTGGTGTGCCGCAGGTCTAAAGCGATCTCAAATGGGAAGGTCACTTTCTTTTAGGTTCAACCAGACAAACGGCTCAGCTTGTAAAAGTCCAGCTTTAGTTCACATTATGCACTGAAGACAAACTGCAATAATAAACATTATTTGATTAATTGGCCGTGTCACTCAAAACAAAGTTGTCTTACCTTTGTGAAGGCAGAATATTTAGTGTAGCTCTCGTATTGTCGAGGCTGCATGCTTGGATATCTAATCTAATCTAATCTATTGTCGAGGCTGCATGCTTATTGTATGTTTTTTGTTCATCTTGAATCAACTACATCAGTTGAAGCCCTTTTTGAGAAGAATCCGAGGCAAGCTTTGTAAATGGAATGCATGTTCAACTCCCTTATTTCATCTTGTCAGTAGAAACCCTTTTTCACTGCCATCCGTGGTTCATGAGACGCTCTCCCTTTGCTCTTCTCCCCAGCTTCAAGTCGACAGCCAAGAAGGACTCTCACATGCTATAAATTATCCCAGGATTCATCTCACTCAGTGTTGCACTCCAACAGTACGAAATGGAAAGTGGGGGGAAGAGCATAAATTTGTGTGTACGTTTTATTGAAGATATAATTTATGATATTGGCTCAAGTAAGGCCTTGGTTTTGGAAAATACAAATTTTTTCAAGCTCCGTGGCCGTGGGTTGAAATATTAAAAAAGGCTCACTATTATACACGCACACGCGCACACACACACACACACACACACACACACACACACACACACACACAATATATATATATGTGTGTGTGTGTGTGTGTGTGTGTGTGTGTGTGTGTGTGTGATTTTTGCGGGGGTTCGGGAAACATGCGTGTGAGTGGCCCCAGTGCTAAATTATACTGAATCCTGGTCCCTCTCACAGGCCACATGTGGGATTGGCCCTGACAACTGAATGCAGCACTGCTCTCATTTTGGTAACTTTGTTTACAACCCTGTAATAGAGACAGTATAGGACCACAGGGCAGGACACAGACAAAGTAAAATCAGTCATCCTGGAAATGTTTCTGGAGAAGAACAGCCGTAGCTAAAATTAGCTTATTCGAATGACTGTATGCATGGGTTGGATTAACTTGAGTTTTGGTTTTGTTGGTATTTTTATTTTCTGACAGCGATCAACTTTCCACCCAAGTGGAAGGACTGCAACTGTAGGTAGTAGGCTACATATGTAATTCCAAGAGAAATCTGTAATTATAGTGCGGATGGATATGAGTTTCACCAGCCTCCTCCCTCTGTTTGCATTCAGAATGCAATGATGGACACTCTTTGTTTACATTTAGAACACTGAGAAACATTTAACAGGCTCACAATTTAGAAATGTACTCATCACCCATACCCAAACACACACACACACATGGACAAGCAAATGGGTGCACAGACAGTGTCGCATCTTGAGCTGTTGGTGGTTTGATTTCGTTGCTCAACATCAACTCGTGAGTGGCTTGAGTCACTTTGGTTCTGTCTTTGTCTTTCCTTTTCTTTTTTAGGTTCAAAGCAGGTCTCAAACAGACTGAACTATTGCCATTCATCAAATGACTGACTGGTGTTCTTTAATTAGTCAAAAGAAAAAAAAGATCAACTACAGTAAAATAGATTTAAAAATGTATTTACCATACATACAATTGAAGCAAAAATGACTCATACCCTGATTTTGACAGCTACAAGAAAAATAGCAAAACATATTGGGCAAAAAAGCTCACTATTTCCATAATTTCTATACAGTTTGACCAGACGTGTCTTCTCTCAATACACACACGCACGCGCGCGCGCACACACACACACACACACACACACACACACACACACACACACACACACACACAGGGACAAAATTGTTGGTACCCCTCTTTTAACTAAAAATCCACAGTGGTCATGGAAAGAAATTGAATCTAACGAAAATAAAAACACATCCAAAACTAAATTAAAATTAACCAATGAAAACCAGACACTGCTTTTGATTTTTGTTTTAACAAAATTATTTAAAAAAACAAACTCATGAAACAGGTGTAGACATAGATAAGAAAAAATGAAAATAAATTGACCGTAGGGACATGTTCAATCAAGGTATGTCCTCAAACTAGCATCACAGTCTTCAAACTTGGAATCAGTCGCCCTATTTTAAGGATGACAAGAAGTCACTGTTGTTTGGTGACAATGTGTGTACCACGCTAAACATTGACAAGAGGAAACGAAGGAGAGAGTTGTCGCAGGAGATTAAAAAGAACATTATAGACAAGCGCATTTGAGGTCAAGATTATCGCACCATTTTGAGATTTTGAACAGTCACTGCTGACGGAATGCCCACCTCTGTAAATATGATCCCATATTGTCCACTAATAAATTACAGAAAACATAACATTTAATTAAACACAAACATTTCTCATCACCTGACCCTTGAAACATTTGAAATAACCTAATTTAAGGGGTTCGTAAACCATATCTATGTTTGGGCCTCCAAAATGGAGCGGTCCGCGTGTCACCTGCAGTATCTCGTCAGTAAACTGTTGAGAACAACTGAGTATGCAACCTCGGTCATGCTACTGAAACTGGAAGGGAATTGGGAATGGTGTGGTGTCCTGTTTGTACAAGTTACAATGATTCTTTAGGATTGTGCAAACAGTTGGCTTTCCTTTAAATTGTCAGATTAAGATCAGCAATATGAATGTTTCAGAATTTTTCTTTCGCCATCAGTGTCACTTTTTTAATGTTACACTCAAAATATAGCAAGTGTAACAATAGCTTTGAACATGAAGAGGTGTATGACTAGTACTGTACTTCGTAGTGCAAATTAAAGTGATGACAAAATGCTGTGGCTGTCAGTGTCTGAATTCTTTTCTTTTATCCCGATGACCTCAAGGAACTTTGAATGATGCTGAAACTTAACAAGCGGAGTGAGAGGCAGATAAACCGCAAAGAACATACGCATAGACAACAACTCAGACCTATGAACAATTTTTAGTCTTCTATCCCCTTGAAGGTTTCTGGAATATTAGAGGAAACCAAGTAGCACGTTGATCGATTGGTTAGTACATCTGCCTCACAGTGCAGAGGTGCAGGGTCCGATTCGGGCTTCGGCCTCCCTGTGCCTATACTACGGTTTCCTTGAACTTGGTTGTCTCTGTGATTAGTTGGCAACCAGTTCGGGTGTACCCTGCCCACTGCCTCAGGGTGTATCGGATAGGCTCCAGCATGTCCGCAACCCTCATGAGGATAGGCTCATTAGAAAATGGCTGGATGAGGAGGAAGCCCACTCGTCCAGTCCACTGTGCCACCTGGCCTTTGCAGGATAAAAAAAAAACAAAACTATGGATTGAATTACAACAGCACGAGTATTGTCACTTTTTTTAATTAAAAAGAAATTAACTCAAGACAAAAACATCCCTGCAGTATAATATGACTGAACTCAGTTTCATGTGTATGGCGAGGATGTTGAAGTGCAGCACATCAGAAAAATGTACAGGTGCCAACAGGCCAAATAGCTTTACATGAGGTCAAAGCCGGTGTCATTTACAAAGTCAACTGGATTGCATGCAGGAAGCAAACAAACATGGAAATAACATGATGACAAGACCAGATTTGCGTTGAATGTCACAAGAAAACTTCTTCTCGGTAATAATTTAGGATTATAATAGATCCTGTGTATAAAAAAAATACTGCTTTGTTTGCTGTGCAGCATCAGAATCTCTTCATCTGTCGCCGATCTTGTCTTCTCTGCTTCTTCTCGTTCACTTCCTCCGGTGCGGACGGGCTCTCTGCAGAAAACCAGGGGCCCAGAATGTTCACCCAAAGCAGGTGAGCAGCGCGAGCCGGCGCCTGGCAAACAAACAGCACACCATTACGTCTCTTTAAAAGAAGGATGTGGATGAACGTGCATGGGTTTCGAGCAAAAATGGGAGTGGAAAAAAAATACATTTATCTGAAGTAATTTTTAAGTAGAGAGACTCACCAGCAACCACAGATACCAAAAATACGAAGAGATGCAACTGAGCACTTGGACAAACACTGTGAGCAGGATGACATCCTTCAGGTGCCTGGTCGAGAGAAGAGAAAAAAAAAAGGCTTGATTGCCACTGAAACCCTTTTTAACACTACACACTGACAATTTAAAACAATCAATATGAATCACACGTTACATCAAACATTGCCTGTACAGTTAAGAAATATCCTGTGAGGTGACAGTTGAATATGGTGTGATCACCTACTCGGCCATTCCCTGCTCCATGTTTAAGTCTATTCCTCCGTCAAGGAGACTTCCGTCCTCAGCAAACACCGGTTTGGCCATCGTGGACATGGAGCGGTAACTCCCAATATAGACAGCTAGCGCAAATGCTAATAACAGCTGTATGAAGGCGGAAACATAGAAACTTTCACTGAGGAGAATAGTTTGCCCCAAAATCCGCCCAGCACTCGAATACAATACTTACCCATGTCCAAAAAGTAGATGAATTGTAGAAGATCAAAAGATTTACAGCAACATATATGGCCTGTGCAAGAGAGTTATTATTTACAGTTAGTGATTGGAGTTACACAAGTGACAAATAAAACGGCTTGAAAAAGCTCGTCATCTTACACTACGCATTCAACTGACATTTACTATGATGGACATGCTCCCATTTCATGGCACACAAATGCAAGATCCATGCTTACATTAGCTCCCAGAATGACTCTTGTATAGAACTTGAGGGTTGACTCGTTCTCCTCGAAAATCTGCTTCTTTCCCTTCGTACCAACTTTGCCTTTGGGCTGCAGGGGGGGGGGCAAGATCAGTTTCATTAATAAACTTCATGTAAGCATTTCATGTCATAAAATGAATCATTGGTTCCTGATGAATTTGAATTTTCTCCTGACGTTTACGTGTCCCATTCCATGTATTTCGGTCTTTGCAGTCACCGTAGAGTTTTTGAAAATAACGCAATCCTCATTTTGTGGGGAATCTCACGTTTAGTTATACTGTAACGTAAAATGTTTCATGAGTAGATTTGTTTGAATTATATGTGGCAGGATATGGAGTCGCGCTCCCTCCTGCTTGGGCAGTGTGGCATGGTGATCATCAATTACAGGACATCCGCCTATCCTATAGATACACCTGGTTGGAACTTCCTCTTTCTGTTCCTCCTCCTTGGAGTCGGCACACACGTGTGTGTTGGCATGCAGCGTGTGCTTGTTCAGTGCAGAGTGGCGTTGGGTTTCGCCACAAGCAGCGTGGTGTGACAGGGGGCTGGGCTACCTCGGGTGCTCCTCGTGAGCGTGGTGCACTTCCTGCACCATCACGAGTGGAGTCTGGGCAGAGCTTTCCTGGACACATGCACCTGTTTGCAGCCTTACTGCTGCTGGTGCTGTTGTCTTGGCTCATGGATACTAGACACGGTCCTTAAACGGCCCCTTTTCTCCGGTTTTAAGTACTGGGATCTCTCCTTCCACTGGTTTTAATCCCGGCGCTCTCGGGGTGGAGGGTGATGGCTGAAACTGCTCCCGCAGCATTTCCCCACAGTTGCAATCGAGGCATCCTGACTGTACAATGCCAGATGGTTTCTAGTAATATTGCAGACTGTGATTAATTTGATTTGATAATTCTTTCTCTTGTGTTCTTTTCTGTAAAATAAAAACATGTCTTTTGGTTTGTTATTTGTTTGTTTATAAATTGTCTTATCTTAGTGTGACATTGTTGAGTTTCAGGTTCTTCTGATTGGGGGGGTGAATGTTGCATTTTGTTTATAGTGGTATAGGGCCGCCAGAATTGCATGTTTTAAGTGTGCGTTTCTTTTTGTTTGACAGGTGCCGAGGGCCCCGGTGCGGCAGCGGTTCCCTGGTCGTGGTCTTTCTTCACTTTTTGGTTAGCGTGTCACGGGTGCTGTGTAGTTTTGGATGTTCCCCATCTTTATTTCCGCTGTTGTGGTAACCCCATACCGTGTCCAGTTTTCCCCTTTCTTTGGCATGTCCCATACGACTCCACATCCCTTTATTTAGTCTGCACCTGTTTTTTAACTGCCTCTTCATAAAGTTTGATACTTTCTTTCACGTTCTGGCTGTGGAGGTTATTTCGAATTTTTTCCTTATGTAACTGATGTGATTGGATATTTCAAAGTCTCAGAGTATGAGTCACCAGGTGGCGTTGTCTAGTCACCGATTTAATACAGCTCGCCTTGCCACATATGATGTATGTTAATTACAATAGGGAATATCATTCATGAACGATATGCCAAAGTAAGTGTGATATTTTACTTCATGCCCCGAATGCGCACCGCTAACGCTATAGTCGGACAGTGGAGTCAGTGAACACCAAAGAAAAGAATAAAAAAAGTGCATGCGTGTGAAACCTCACCGCCATTAGCTCTCAGGGATATACTTGTGGTCGTTTCCACTGTGTCCTTTACAACACGCTGTCCTCGAACCCACCTTTGCTACGTTTATGTAGCCGCATTGAAAACTTGAAGACAAAATCGCTCCGTGTTAATTCCTGTAACACATCAGCGTTAAACACGTCTGAGATCAGCATTTCCGGCGCGTGAAATAAACGTCAGAGCGAGCTATGAATCTGAAATTTGATGGTAGTGTACCCTCTGGTGGCCATTATGTAATTATTCTATTGTATAGTTGTGCCAACAAATATCGAACGCAAACTTTAATTTTAATTTCAAGTATCATGAGACAGATCTTGAGACGTGTGGATATATAAATATAATCATAAAAGTGTAATGGAAACACATTTTCGCGTTTCCACACCATGTGACAAGGCGTCTAGCAGTCTCGGCCGGTGTCATAGCAGCTGACTTGGAGCTGGTGCGGACCAAGGGAATCCGACTGTTTAAATGAAACAAATTATCGCATAGGTACGAGGCGCTGTTGATGGGATGTGCTTTCTTCCCAATACTCTCCACGTTAAGTTGAAGAAATTCAATTAAGTGTGGCTGAACGGCGGGATACAAATTGTGCAAAAGCAAATTGGTAATGGGAACAGACACATTT